GTATACATACTTCTCTTCAAGTAAGAGTCAGGAAGACCAAGGAGGGAATTATATTTGCTGCTGTTCTCACCTTTTGTCTGTGAAACTGAGAAGCCAGAGAACTCTGGTCTCCTGGCTCAGAATGAAGTCCATGGCATTTGGATGGAGTTGATTGATCCATGGACAGAGTTCTCTAATCTTTATCAGTGGTGACATTTGCTTTCCAGGAACAAACAAAACCAAAAGCTGTAAACCATAATGCCTGACAAAAGTGATCTTTGACAGCAGTCATGACCTTAGCCGTTCTTTCTGCAGCACTGCGGTTGTGTTCTACGTGCAGAACGGGCATCCTTCCAAGGTGATCAAGGCATCAGATGTCTCACGAACTCTGCATGTGCAGCTGTTGAAAGAGAAGGCTGACTTCCTGCTTTTTAAAGTCCTGAGGGTTGACACAGCTGGTATGTTCTGATTGTACTTGCTCATTTCGGAACTTTGCAGGCATCTGGCTAGTACAGCACGTGGAAACAGTGCATGAAGGCCTTCTGTCTGCCACCTGGTGTCTGGGTTTGGATGTAGCTTTCCGCAAGATGATGTGAAAATGCTTGTTCATTTGTGGTAGACTGGTGCCAGTTACTTGTGTTCTTTTAAAAGACATCGTTTATAACAGCAGGCAAAAGCATGTCTTAGTCTGGTCTGCATCAGGAAGACCTGGGGAATGAGGATAAAGATACCTGACTTATATCATCTTTTGTTGGAAGATTGGAAAAACTTAATATATCCATATTATAGAATGTTTCATGTTTCTGGTTCCTTGCAGGCTTTCAGTGTTCAGTAATAGGTTTGTAATGTAACTTGCGTGTTATCAGTCAAAATGGTCAGGTGATCACTGTTACAACCTAGTCTTCTAATATTTGCAATGTAGACAGGCCTCTGGGGTTTCTTAAAATGAACTTTTTATTTCCCCCCCAAAGATGTTTGAACTTCTAAGCTTATTTTAAACTTCACTAGTAATGTAAACCCTTTATGATACTCAGATATTGCAGATATTATTTCTCCATGGTTTAAAATCAGCACATAATGATCCAATCACAGACAAAGTAAGCTAGCTCTGGCAGTAGAATACTCATTGATTTTGTAGTAAATACTGTATTTACCTGTTGAAAAGGAGTGTTGTTCTATTGTAAATGTACTTGGATTACTGAAACGTGTAGAGTCACTTGAAAATACGTATTAACATTTTTCTTGACATAGCAAATCTGCTACTCTAAGTTTTAAGGGGAATAACTTTTCGTTTTAGCATGATATGATGCATTAATCTATCAATAGCTACTACCTATAAGCCTATGAGGCATGTAAACGTTCTGGCCTCAGATGCTGCAATTCAGCTTTGAAATACCGAAGTACGCTCTGGTTTATTGGTATGATGCTTCTCTTCTAGTACCTGAGAATGCTGTTATTCCCCAGTTCTCAGGTACTTTAGAAGTTCTTACAGATATGTCACAAAGAAAGAACCAGGTCTCAATTCCACAACTTCAACTCATCTTTATTTCTGGTTAGAATAATCTGTTCTTGACTTGCATACAATTTCAATATTGTATGCATAAAATGTATATTCTTCACAGCCTGCAGTCTGCTGAACTGTAAGTCTGCTTAGCATGTAACATCAAAGGAAAGGGAAATTAAAAAAACAACAGAACGTCATGAACTAGATACTTTACCACCACTGTAGCCTCACAGTAAGAGGATGCATGACAAATTGTCCATTACACAACTGACCTTAGGTTTGGTTTTGTTCTTAGCCTGTCTTTTAAAATGCTCTGGACATGGACACTGTGACCCCATAACAAAGCGCTGCATTTGCTACCAGCTGTGGATGGAAAACTTGATTCATCGTTATCTAAGTGATGGAGAGAGTAATTGTGGTGAGTCTGGGTGTTAAAGAATGTATTTCAAGAATAACTTATCTTGTGAGACTGTTGATTATTTGCTGTCAGAAGGGGGAGTACTTCGGAAGACTAACACAGTCTCTGTTTTCCAGCCAAGCAATATCGTTATATAGAAAGATACTTGAAAAATGTCTTGAAATTATAATGTCTTGACAGTAGTAGCCTATAGTTAGAATATTCTAAAAGCTTAAACTATTAAAAGTACCACTATTTGAGGAAAAAAGCATGAGAACTTTGTTACACGAGAGAGATCTTGCAACAATTTGGGGCTAGTTGGAAGGGTTGTTGAATAGTGTGGACATTGCAGAGCTCTTTGAGTAGTATTCATCTGGTTGTTGCAAAACAGAAAAAGAGGCAACAACTTAAATTGTTTTAGTGGGTGGTTGATGCTTCTGTGCCAGAAGTATGAGCTGACTTAAGGAAAGAAAACACTGGTGTTCTGGGCTAACTAGTGTAGTCACCTTTAATACCTCAGCTTTTTAGAACGATTAATTTCACTGTTTCTTTCAGTTTGTCTGTTGCACTTTGGAAATGAAATTTAGTTTCATTAATCATGTCTGTATTCTGTGGCACACCTAACATATCAGCTATGCCTCTCTTTCAAATATTTAATAGTTCTAATTTAACTAAATTGGTCTTCTGTTTAAGTTTAAATAATGTACTGTGCAGGCTTGGAGACATTTGCTGAGCAATACACTAGTCTTCAAGTAAATCTATAAACATTTATGAGGAGCTTGCTACAAGCCATTAAGTAACCATGGACCATGTGTCTGTCTGTTGATGAGTGAAGACTAATTGACCAACCAAAATGGGGACAGTCAGTTTTAAGCCTGAGGCTGGGACCTACTGCAGCCCTGCCCTAATGCTGTGTTCTTCTGTAGTATAACAACACTGAAATAATGAGTGTATGTATGATGGAGTTCACATTCTTGCACATGCCTCTGTATCCTTCTCATGTTTTCGTGGATTTACAAATGTAACCATGCAAGTGGAAGGATCTATCTCTAATCAGCTGCTCTTTTAAAGCACTACTAGAAATGCCAGCCCTAGAGTACACCTATGCTTATTTCAGTTAGAAAATGACAACTGTGGTGCTAACCATTCCCTCTTGACTTTCAGTTCTCACATAGACATTTTACCATCTTGGGATGGTAAAAGGTATTGGAGTAGAAGAAGATTTTCAAACAGGCGCTTTTGGTCTAGAAGCTTAAGAATTTTTAGAGATTCTTCTGAGAATATGAAGGTGCTAAGTTCTCCTAAGTTCCTGTTGCCACTCCCCATTCCTCAGGATTAGCTATTTTAATAGACTTGTATTAGAAATTATCCCATTCATATTATTTTACAAAGTACTGTTGTATTTCTTTTTTCAGAGTGGAGTATACTCTATGTCACTGTATCTGTATTTATTTTGATTGTGGTCATGGTAGGGCTTGCCTGGTTCTGCATCTGCTGCTGCAAAAGGTATGTGATTTGTGTTTCTTTTTGATGGGATGTATGCCAAAACTGCACACAACTGCCACATTTTAATCCAGTCCTTAGCACTAAACCACTAAACTCTTTTCAGGCATAGGAGGAGCTTCTAGTACCTATTTCTTTATAGATGCACTTTTATTGAAAAAAGGGGATATCCATTCATGCCTCTGTGCAATTCCGCCTTTCGAAAGCCAAAAAGTCGATATTGGAGTATCTTTCATATTAAGAGATAATTTACGTTAAAATGTTGAGAGTATACTGCAGATCTTCATGGTCTCACACTGATTCTTCCAGGTACACTGAAAAAAAAACTAAAAAAAAAAAAGCCAAAAGAGGCGCACCCTGAAGGTTACTGTCGTAGGAGTATTCTAGGCCATTGGAAGGGACCTGCTCCCAACCTGGTGTTTCCCTTAGACAGGAAGAGTGGACATGGGGGTGCATCTGGCTGACAGGCAAGGAGTACTCCGGAGATCCCAGCCACTCTTTTCTTAAACAGTTTTGCCAGCTACTGTACATCATTTTCTTCTCTGTCCTCCTCCCCAGTCTTTTCTACTGAGCTGATAAGAAATTCTCTTTCAAGTGACAAGCCCCTGCAAGTTCTGTCACTAGAGGAAGCGTTCTTGCTGCTGCTTAAAAAGCCCAGTAAATAGATAGCTTGTTCAGGTGTTAGCAAAAATGAAAGGCTGTCAAAATATTTCTGGATTTCCACTTTTTTCTAGGGTTTTGCAGTATGTAAACGATGTTCTTTGAAATGCGTAAGTGTTGATACTGGTTTCCTTCTAATGGTTGAAGGAACAATGTTGTTAGTAGAAAGGTTTAAATAGAAGTGTCTTCCGTTCTACCCCCAGAGTGTAGGGTGGAGCCTCACAGGCTTGTGAGATTTGATGAGAAAGGATTTGTTTATGGAAAAGTTGTGGGTACCCCATCCCTTGAAGTGTTCAAGGCCAGGTTGGACAGGGCTTGGAGCAACCTGGTTTAGTGGAAGGGGGCCCTGTCTGTGGCAGGCGATTGGAACTGGATGACCTTTAACATCCCTTCCAACCCAAATCATTCTATGATTTCAGCTGCTTCTGTCCTTTGTCCTCATGTGGCTTGTGCCAGAGGGTGAGGGCTGGTTGGTACAGGTAAGCGTAAAAAAAAGAGGAAGGAAATGCTGCACAGGACAGAATGGCAAGAGATGCCTTTCGCCTTGTGGAAACTACAGAAAAGAGAGAGATCCTAACCCAAGATTTGAGTGGAGTTTTGGAGGTTTTAAAGCCACTGCTGAGTTGCCAAATGAACTCCATTTTTCTAGACCATGTAGAAGGGGAGGCTGAGCGGTTGGCTGTGGCTGTAATGTCAGCTGAGCAGTAGGTGGTTTCTCCAATGTGAACTGTGCAATCTGAGTGGCAGTGTTTCTCCAGACATCGCCAGAGTCAATCCTTGCATTAACAACGGGCATGTTCCACTCGCCCACCCCCCTCCAAAGCTATGAGAAAGAATGCCAGAAAAATACCTGAAGTGTGAGCATATTCTAGGAGGTGCCCTTGGTTTCATGCATGAGTGCCTTTATTTCTACACCTAAATCCTTTGTTCCCTCTTGATCCAATACAGCAAACAGTTCTGTGTCTGTCCCTTTATCTCCAGGACTTTTTCTTCTGTATTAAAAAGCAGATAAGTAACTCCTGTGAATAGCTGATGCTTAACATAGAGATGATGATCTTTGCAGCATTGTGGAAATAGATGTTGGGAGAGGATGTAAATGAAGAAAGAACAAGTGGGGATTTGCTTACAAACCAGTATGGCTTTGTCCCTGCATGTATATATATGAGGGAGCCAACTTCCATTTTTATCTGGTTGTCTTTGTAAGCATAACCAGACAAGCACTGATTAAATACTCTCAGTTAAAAAGAAAAGTGGGGGTGGGAACACCTAACCAATTCTTACAGAAATTTTATTTGGAAACAAATGAATGTATGTCTACCTTGTGTCTAGTTACTATATTGACATTGAACAAACTGAACCCTGTGGCCTAGGAAAGCAGGTCAATCTTTCTTGCTTTCTAAATCTCTCTATATCAGAGAGAAAAACAATCTAGACCAGAGAGTATAATTTTACAGCTGCCTTATACAGGTATAAACTGGGACAACTCTTTAAACGGAGTTGAGAAAGTACAGTGAGGTTCTGTATATTGGGGTATGTAGTTATATTTATTGAAAGGGAGAAGCAGCAGATTTATGTGTGTACATGAGAACCAAATGTCTTTCTGGTACCTTTCTTTTAGCAGAAAGAGGACAAAGATAAGAAAGAAAACAAAATATACCATCCTAGATAACATAGATGAGCAGGAGAGAATGGAGCTACGGCCCAAATATGGTACGTGCTATATGTTTCAGCTGCAAATCCATCCACCAATCTTACAGGTAGTGTATTTGAATTGACACCTGCAGTCAGAAGGAGCCCAGAAACTGGCCTACAAATCTGTGAATGGCAGAGGCGAGAATGAAACGTTTGAGGGAATATCCACTTCATGTCTTTCATGAGGCCTTGGACTCAGCCACTGAGCTTCTTTGTTAATCTTTAATTTAGAACATCTAATTGTCCTACAGACTTTCTCCATGTAGCCCCCTCCCTCCCTGCACACACTTTAATTTGGAGTCGTTTTTGTTGCTGTGTAGCAGTTCCTTCCTGGCCCAGAAGCACCCTGTTGAATATCAGCAGACTTCAGCTGCTATTCTCTTTTCACATGTATTTTTTTATTTACCAGAGTTTCATTTTCTAGCAGGGGAAATAAAATCATCCTGAGAAGCTGCTGTCCTAGAAAGATAGACAATGTTTCTGTAGAAACCATGACCTTTCATTGCTGCTTGTGTTAATCAGTTCAATGGACAGGCTAGTTTCCGGATTGAAGCTATGAGAAGTACATAGGCTAGGTATCAAGACATCTAATTGGTTCAAATTTAATGCATATACTCACATTTCAGAGCCACAGACTGATGGGCCTGCAGTGAAGTCAAAAGAGTATCTGTCTGACGGCATACGATACTTCCTAGGCCATTTTTTTGTTGGTGGTGGCAGTGGTGCACACTATTATGCTGGATTGCAGAGAATGTTTTCACTTGTATTTCATATCACAGCAGAAGAGAGGATGGTTAGTTATGTAAAAAGTTAAACCTTTTTAATGAGCTTGGTTTGCTTTTTTGTTGTCAGGTATAAAGCACAGAAGTACAGAACACAACTCCAGCCTGATGGTCTCTGAATCAGAGTTTGACAGTGATCAGGACACTATCTTCAGCAGAGAAAAGATTGAAAGAGAGAATCCTAAAACCCTCATGAATGGATCCATCAGAAATGGGGTTTCCTTCAACTACAGCTCCAAAGACAGATAACTGAATGAGGGTAAAAGCACAGAACACACTGGTTCAACACATCTGAAACATGTTGGCCACCTGTTTTTCCAGAACCAAAAGCTTCCTAAAATACCAACTAATTGCAAGGGAAAATTGAAGGGAATTGAAAGGGGATTGAAAGGGAAAATTTCTGGCACACTTAGGGGAAGGAAGGAGGAAGGAATAGATGGTCAGCTAACTCCTCTTGTCACCATTATAGGAACAAAGAAGAGCACATCTTACTTCTTGCATGTTCCATGCTGAATGTTTGTTTGAACTTCGGAAGGCCCTTTTACCTGTATCACTGCTACAAACTAGCCAGGGCTGCTATGGAACTAACAATAGTAACTGAGATGCATAAAGGTTCATGTACTGTGCTCCTGTCTTTTTCTCGGAGAAGCAGTATGATTATGATGCTGACCTAAACCAGCAAAAGCCAATATAGATAAATTCCCTTACAACTATAGAGAGCAATATGTGATCACAGGCTCCATCTTCATTTTCAGTTTAGGTTGGGAACACAAAGACAGCATTTTTAGTGCATTGTATTTATCTCTGACTGTGCTTTGTGACTTCCTTTTCTAGGGTAGTGCTCATCAGATGGAAATGTCTTGTTTTCAAAGAAAGTTTACACTTACTAGTACACTTAATCAGCTGTAATGTGATACATCTGTGTCCTGTAGGGTGCAATATTCCCTGTATTTACATAGAAAATATGGTACCTGCAGGAAAGTCCAGCTGTCTTCTGTAATGATGGTGCTTTGGCTCTCTGGTGTCTTTCACATCTAGCTAGGAAACAGTAACAGAAAGGCAGGAAGGACTCCGTGTGAAGTACCTTCAGAAGCATTTTTAGCATCCCAAGCAACCTTTTGCTTAGAGAGTACTTCTAAGGAGCTCTGGACCTTCTAAGACTGAACCATCAGCTGAAATGAGTTCCATCTGTCAACCTCTGCTCAATTAAAGAATGTGCCAGCCATTTGTGTGCTGAAATGCTTGTGGTGAAACAACCTATGTGGAGTAGGAGGTTCAACACCTGTGCTCATTGTCATGGGAATTGGTACTGGGAAAGGTTTTAGTTTGAACGTTAGACTGTTTTACTTTTTCCTCTGTGGCTATGCAGCAACTAGATGTGTTGGCCTAAAGAGATCCCTTTAGGTGCTTGGGAAGAGTAGGTATGTTGGAGTTCTGATGTTCACAATCTGGATAATTTCTTTACAGTGTGCTTGTTAGGCTTTAAAGCCATGCCCCCAATACTGTTCTTGAAATCTCAAACTTAATACCTGGCTTTTGTACGTAAGCCTCACTTTTAGGGGCATCTGTGTCAGTGGAACTGTGTGGCCACCATGTCAGCCTTTCCTGGGGCCCTTTTACTGACATGCTGGAGTCTTGGGCTGAGCTGGAGGAACAGTGTATTCTGATGGAGAAAACATTCCTCTGGGAGCATTTTGGACAGTTGGTCTTTTTTGGTTTTAACTCTTTTTAATTACATCTGGTGGTGGAGAATTCATTAACAGAGAAGGGTGCAACAGCATAGAGATCACGGAGAGCAGATGAAAAGGGTCAGGTAGGGGACATAGCTCACCTCCATCATAAGGAATAATTTGGTAGAGAATTTTGGGTCTTTCTCCATCCTTTTGTAGAAGTCTGACACAACGGATTGGTTGGGTTGGATGCTGTGGCTTCTGTGCTTCCTTTGTCAATGGAGTTGGGCAAAAGTCAGAACTGTCTAGGTTGGAAGGAATCAGTAGTCAAAAGTTGCAGCAATATGGCATGCTCATAACTGCTTTCATACTTCTGATTCTCAAACGCAGCCAGCAGAAGTCCCTAAAGCTATTAATGCTGCACTAAGGAGTATCTCTCCTGTGCCCAGCCTGCGTTTCCCTGGGCAGCTGAGTGTGGCTGAAGGAATCATAGTGGTGGGAGAGGCTGTGAAGAGCTAAAATGGGCTAATGCAGGTGTTTTCCATGTTTTTTCTCATACCCACCAGCAAGATGCAGTGTAAACGGCGTGATTCACTTTCTTCAGAAGACAAGTTTTAACTCTATGTGTATAGGGGCTGTAGGCTATTTAATGAAAAAAATTCTACTTTATCTCACCTTCCCCCTTCTCGAGTGTGTGAATGTATATATATTTTTAAATAACTTGGTCAATAAAAGCAAGGTCAGCTTTTGATGTCTTTCAGTTTCTGCTCCAGATGTGTTAACATCATAATACAGTGTTTACTTTTAAGCATTCATAAAGAAAGTTAAGGCCCACTCAAAATGCTAATTTTGTTTTCTTTTTCAAATGGAATATTGGGTGTGATCAATTCTGCACAAATTCCCAAGATGTTCTAGAAGGAATTACACTCCTGGAAACATGCATTTTAAACAAAAGACAAGAGTTGTATAAGGAACTACAGCTTGTATTGGCCACGCTGCTATTAATGCTTCTGCTAAATACTGTATCAAGTGTGCCTTTATCTATAAACTTACCTTTTAGGACATGTCAGTGTAGTCAGCAGCATCCTTCAGTTTTGTGAAGTCAGTTGCTTGTGCTTTGGGTTTATTTTATGTTTCTAAAGTTGGTGCTGAAGCCTAGTAGGCTGTTCTTTCAAGGAATTAAAATTCAGGCATATTTAAACAAACAAACTAGACAGATTCTCTAGTAAAAAATGACAGGAATCATAAACTTGCTTTCCTCAATGTTGAAGAATTCCCTGAGCTATTCCTCCTTACACACAAACATACTGTGGGTTCAGATCTTTGGATCGGTGGTAAGCTCATGTGCCATGATAAAGTACGCATGATTTGGCTAAGTATTTCTCACTTTAACAAATCAGAAAGATTAGACCAATTTTGTATTGCCTAAGGCCCTAGTAAGTGGAAGTTGCTTACTAAATTCTGTTCTCTAGATGATACTTTGACATCTTTGTTGCTAACAGTGTTTTAGTTGTGTTTTGAAAGTTGAATATAGTTTAAAGTTTTGAGCTGCTTCTAATTCTACTAGTTTGATCCTTTCACCTCCTTGGAAGGAGAGGTCATTCCTTTAATATAAGATCAGGCTTGTTCTTACTATGAAACTTGCACAGAAGTTGAAAATAATAGTTTCTGGGTTTGTGAATTTGTGATATTAAATTTGTGTCACTGGGCCAAGCATGATTTTGTTAGGAATTTAGGAGATATTGTATCAAGCCTTGTATCTTGATGCAGTACAATTTTTATTTCTAGAACTGTTGCTTTCTTGCAGCGTGTCAGGTCATAGCTGGAATGAAAGGGTTGGAAAACTAGCTGTCAAGGTGCGAACACAGTGGTAGAGTTCTGATGCCAGTTCTGGTTTGGGCTATGATGGGTTTGAAGCAGGTTCTCAGTCCTTATGTTTACTTCCATATATTGTTTTTCTTCATATACAGAAAGAGTGCTGGCAGATTCTTTGTGAAATTGGGATGGGGATGTTCCCAACAGACTCATCTGCACTGAAAAGCAGAGACCAGATATAGCTTGTTGTGTATGGTTCAGAGTCCACTGTGGTGGACGTAGCTGTGCTAGGTTAACAGTTGGACTCGATTATTTCCAACCCAAACTATTCTACGATTCTGTGAAAATAAAGAATACATTCAGTTTGGCACTGTTAAGATACTGCCTCTCTTTGAAGGCAGACAGTGTGCTGATACATAAAGTGCCTCACAGCTTTGGAGTAAGCACTGGATTTTCATTTGTATCTTGTGTGTCAATTTACACATGCTGATCCATGCACAAGCAGAGATTGTGCCTCTCTGCAAAAGGACTGTCTTTGCATTCTAAGTAAGGAGAATATTTTGCCAAAAAAATTCCTTACCATTACTGCCTGCAGCATTAAACAGATTCAGTACTCAGCACAGTATGTGCCAAGATGCACATCCAGGTTCTCTGTCCTGCGGTTCAAACTTTCATGTTAACTGAGTAGATTGCTGAGAAATTCAGCAAAATCTTAACAGTCTAAGTACAGATTGCTTATTCGAGGAGGGGAAGCAAAAGATTATTCTCGTTTCATGTGTAAGAACACATTTGCAGCTGTGTCCTTTAGGTAAACAGTCTTAGCAGTCTCCTTCTGTCACATGCATCAGATACAGGTACTGTTTGAGCACATGTGCTGTCAGCTGTGTTTTCTTATGATGCTATTCTTACGATGCTAATTTTCCTTTTCTTTCTTAGTCTCTTGCAGGCAAACAGAGGTGCATACACATGCAAGCGTGTGCACCTCTCAGAGGGAGAGTGAGCACATGCGTGTGTTTTCTATGCTGAATTTAAATTTTCCTTAGTTCTGATGTTCTTGAAATAATTTGAGTTCTTAGTTCTGTTCCTGTTCTAAGCCTAAGTGAAACTCATTTTGCCCCTCAATATACTAATAATGGGCAGTAATCAGCTGGAGCTTTCAGGTGGTGGTAATAAAGTGACACTTACTTTAGTCTTCTGAGCTGTTTATGTGAGGTTTGAGAAAGATAAACCTTCTTCTAGAAGAAGGGAAATGGGATAGAGAGGTGAATTAATTTCTTAACATTACCTGCTGCTTGTCATTGATCGCTAACTAGAATACTAATGCCATACTTCTGCAGCAAGGGAGAACACATTTCGCATACCTTTTAGGTCCTGAACTCCCCAAGGCAAGGGAATGAACCCTAAAGCTTAGAAATAAACTTCAAAAAAGGAGGAAGAAAAGGCAAATAATTTTTCTTTCTTTTGCAAAGGCTATGAATCAAGTGCAGATATGCTCCACATCAGTAGTTTGTCCTTGTATGGAAGTGCTTCTCCCTGTAGGTGGATGGGTGAGCTATTACAGAATTTGTTAGGAGTCTGTTTCTAGAAAATGCTATTTATTGCAAATGATAATGTATTGTAACTGGAACCATTTCTGAGCTGAAATACTACATTTATGTAACTACTAATAAAGTTTTGTCTTTCATTCTAGGAACTTGTCAGGTACTCCTTTTAGACATGGTATTCTGTATTGGACTCAACACTCAAGTCAGGCTAACAGGATAA